CTCACACACTCTCACACACTCTCACACACTCTCACACACTCACACACACTCACACACACAACACACACACCACACACACACAACCACACACTCTCACACACACTCACACACACACACACACACACACACACACACACACACACACACACACACACACACACACACACACACATACACACACACATACACACACACAAACATACACACTCACTCACTCACTCACTCACTCACTCACTCACTCACTCACACTCACACACACACACACACACACACACACACACACACACACACACACACACACACACACAACTCTGACTATTGAATAATATTTAATTTTATTGGTAAGTTTGGTGCTAGTTATGCAGCTTTGAAATTACTCAGTAGATGAGTAAGTGTATGTTAGATTTCCCCCGCTATTCAGCTTTTTTAGTATTTAAACAATTAGGAAGCAGTCATAACTAGACTTTGGTGGTGATGGGTAGAGGTTTGTGCAAGGAGGTACAGCAGAAGTCATGTAGATTTTAGTCCTTCACAAATAATACACGACACTGGAGAGGTTGAGGGTGCACAACTTGCCTGCAATGCTTCCCCTTTTGTTAGCTCCTTTCCTGCATGCTTCTCTCTCCCTTGTGCCTGCAGGCAGTGGTGGGGGGGGCCACAAGAGACTCCTCGGGGAACTCCCACCCAACCTCCCCTGTCCCGTCTGCCAGCACATCTCCTGTGGCCACTATCCCACTGGGTACTCTGGCCCCCCTCTCTCGGCAGAAGTACCAGAGGATCCTGCAGCTCTCGGCATCACCACAGGATGCTCCTTCTCCTTCAGCCCCCACCAGCCTCACCCCTTCCACTCTACCACCATTGGATTCCACCACCACATTGAACACCACAACCACCACCACTGCCTCCACCATCGCCACCACCACCATCCCCAACATTTCTTCCCCAAGGGGACTTTTCACCGTCCTTTCCGCTCCAGCCAACCCTCCGTCTTCCTCGGCCTCAGGTGGTGGGTGTAGCAAAGAGTTCAAAGTGCCTTATCCAAGGCCGGCACCAAGGAGTCGTTTGACAAAGTGTAGGCTGCGTAGAAAGGAGGAGATGCCCGTATCCAATATGACCCCTTGCATCCCCTTAGGAGCCCCTGAATTGTCTTGGGAATTTGATTGTGATAGTCAGGACCTTACCAGTGAAGATTACAGGTCACCAGTAGGTAGATTTGCTTTTTCATCGTATTCAGAGGAGCCTGGGTACAGTTGCCATTCAGAGACGGTCACAAAGATGGATGATGCGCCTTTCTTTCCCATGTCACCCAGATCAAAGAAAGTAGAGCAGCAGTCCATTATTGTTGACCAGACAACAGGGTTTTCTTACCGCATCCTTGGGGAACCGGCTAGGTCACCGGGGAAGGAGGGGAGGGAGTCAGCTTCAGCAGGTAGTGATTCTTCTCCCATAAAGAATGAAATAGGGAGGAAAGGAGGAAGGGAGGAGGATGTGACGGACATCTTGGACAAAGGAACAGCTTTGGTTGAGGATGATGCACATCTACTGCTATGGTTAGAGCAAGAGTGGGGCAAAGGGTATGACAAAGATCTGTTCAATATCTTAGGCACTCTTCCTTCTCAGTTCACATTAAATAGAGAAATAGAACATTACCTGGAGTCAATTAGCAGAAACTCTGATGCTTCCTGTGGTGCCTATGGTGGCAGTTTTGTTGATGCTCATAGCCATATTAATGGTACCTGTGATGCCAGTCTTCTAGACTGCCCAAGTCAACATGTTAAACTTGCTGATTATAACTCAAATGAAATTTTTGAGAAAAATACCAAGGAAAGAGAGACCAAGAAACTCTCCTTTTTTGATTCTGATTACAGTTATGATATATTTTCTAATGATTTATTTTCCTACCCTGGCATGTCAGATGCCTCAACTTTCGACACTAGTGGCAAGTCTAGCTCTTCCTCCACCACCTTAGAGCCTACCAATGATGGCTGCCCAATCCTGCGTCAGAGACTTAGTGTAAGTGCAGAGTCTGGCCATTGTTTACCTGTGGGTGTGAAAGATCAATGTGGAGGGGCTGTGCATGTGGAATTTCAGGCAGAATGTGGTGAGTGGCTGGCAAATTCCAAATCAACAACCTCTGAGGGATTTCAGGCCGATCCTAGCAAGAGAATGCCTGACTATAGGGTTTCTGGGATTGGTGCTTACTCTGACAACACGGGTCTCGTGAATGAGAGGAATGCTACTGTCGCTTGCTTCTCTGTCGGTGCTGGGTTGCCACCTTACAGTTGCAGTGCTTGGAAGTCTGCTTTTGATTCATATGAATCTAAAGTCTGCAAAAATTATCTGCCTCCTCCACAAACTACTCCACTCAGTAGTGTTAGTGTAGGATCAGGCAGCACTTGTCCGCCTGCATCCAAGCTTCCATTTAAGCTATCTTCTCCTTCACTTTTCAACCATTTCTCATCTCCTAACACTGTAACCCTTATTCCAGTCCAGACTAAGATACCAGGGCCTAAGCACATTCTCAACCTCCCAGAAGCTATGAAGCAGGGCTTAAGAACCCAGTCCATGGCACAAGTTCCTCCTCAGCTTTGCATGAAGAACAGTAATTACTCAGTTAATGCATCATCTTCCAACACTGTCTTCTTAAAATCAGCTGTGCAGGAAAGACAGACAGAACACAAGAGTCATGAGGAGCCAGGCAAAGAAAATGAACTGGAGGTCTTTGCCTTGGATTCTCCCAAAATAAAGAATCATCTGTCTCCCAGAAGGAGTTTTGGCTCCCTAGATCCAGCCATGTCACAGAGTAGAGCTTCCACCAGGATAAATTCATGCGGAGATCTTCAAAGCCAAGAATACTGTGCAAAAAGTAAGAGTCTTCCAGGATTAATCAAAAGAGAAAATACATTCACAGCAAGACAGCACTTAAAAAGCATTGCTGAAGGTCCCTCGGATACCTCCCAAAAAGATAAAAATGAGTGTCAAGAATGGGTCAAGATCTTCAGAAAGGTGAACACTGGGGCAGATGCCAGTACAGCTTTAGAACCGATGGGGAAGAACGCAGGAAAGGAGTTGTACGAGAATTCGGAGTCTGGCATTGTCATTCAGTTCACAAGTCCGCCCAAAAAAACAAAAACAAAGAATCATGCAGAAACGATTGATATTTCTGGTTATGAAAGTAACAGAAATGCAAGCAAGGAATATATCAAGACAAAATCTGTGAATATTTCACCAGAAAAAGTAGTTTGTAATAAAAGCTATAAAGATCCATTGCAGGTTGAGAATATACCCTTAGAGATAAAGGCTCTCAAGTGTAAAGAACCAGTGGTTGTTCTAAGAGATTTATACTCAGGTAAGAAGCATAAAGACAAAGCATCTACAAGTGTTAGGGAAGAAAGCTCTAATAGAAGTGAAATCACTAACAGAATGCAGCCAAAAAAACAAGAGTTGAAGTCAGAAGCCTCACCAGGCAATGTATCCACACGAAAAAGATCAGTGAAGTTGATAAAGTCCACTCATAAAACAGCAGAGAAAAAGCACAGACATACAACCAAAAAGAATGTGCAAAAGTGCACCAGAGGAGGTAGTGAAAGAGCAGTGAATAGAATGGACCCCATAGAGCTCCTGAAAGAAGAGGGAGTAAGGAACATGTGGAGGCATGTGATGAGGTTGAAATCCCTAATGCTAAATTCACGCAAAATGCAATCATCTCCCCCATCAACCGCAGAAAGAACTTCAACTAGTAGAGATGATAACACGGTTGCCACCTCATCTCAAAACATTGCTAGACAAACAGTGGTGCATCAAGGGAAGTCAGGAAGGAGAAATTTCAAGCGGGCAAAGGATAAGGAAATCAGTAAGAGTGAATTCAGTAGTGGAAAGTCATTTCAGAGGCCAGAAATTGCTTCCAAGAATGAAATCAGATGGAAGACGGTGTCAATTAAAAAACCTGTTCCTCATCGTTTGGTTAAAGTCCTTCCCACAGCAGACTTTTTGCTGCACCAGAGCTCATTTTTGCCCTCTGCGTGCAAGGCAAGAGAACAGAAAATTGTGAATGATTATGGTACTGGAAAGAGAGAAAGTCTCCACAGATCTTGTAAATTGCCCCTAAAACTATTTGGATATTATTAGATGTTTGCATGAAGTTGCCCATTTAATTACTTACTGAGAATCTGATGTGATTATTTTGTAAAACATCAATCGAGTGGGTCAGTTGTTGCACAAAATACAAATATTTCCTTCTTTTACAAGCAAGTTAATTTGAAAGTCTCAAGTTACAGCTTACCTGGTTTGCATTTGATATTTTATGTTTTGATATATGTTTTCATAGCTAAAACACCCCTCTTTTTATAGAAAAAATAATAGTAAATGCTGAAATATTAAATAAAACTGCACTGCACTCTAAGATAAATTTTTGTTTGTATGTATATAAAAAGTAGAAATTCATTTATTTTTTTGTGAGGAAAAATAGAATAAGGAGACAGTATGAACAAAAATATTAAGTTCGACCATTCTAGTCTCATCTAGTTGTGAAAATTAATTTATTTTTCATCCTTTCCTCTTTGGAATGGTATTTTCAGAGGGAATAATTTAGTTTTTAATTTTTTCTTTTCTTTTCTTTTTTTCTGTTGGTATAAGGAAAGGATAGCGGCTATTACATTCCAGTAATCAGTTGACAATCCCAAGTAGATAAGAGTAAATATAATGGAAAGAACAATAAACATGTTTGAGCTTTAAATTTCATTAAGAAAATTGACATAGATACAATATCAGCGGAGTTTCGTTAACAACAAGAGCTGAGGCCTTGTCTTGCCCTTGCCTTACAAATCTGTTCACCTAATAAAGGGAGCAAAGGATGGAAGTGATACAAAAGGCTGTGATTGTACCTTAGTCACTTGAATGTTTGTAAAATGTCTATGAAATATTCAGTTAATGGAAATACTTTGAACACTCATTTGATAATATTTCTTATTTACATTTGATATTATGTGTTAGTTTTGTATTGTTGGTACAGTTTTGCTATCATCATCATTATATTTTTTAATCGTTATTATTATTATTTGTATTATTAACATGATTATTGATTTCTGCTATTCAATAGAATTATATTTTTATTATGATTGTGATGGTTCTTTTTATCAGTATTACTACTTTCATTATCAAAATTGGTATTATTAGTATCAACCTAAAGGTTATTTTTATGATTTTGACATTTAGAATCTAATTTCACATCCTAGTGCTGGTAGTATTCATGTATCTTTATAACAGTCACAGTTGACAGTCACCCACGTAAGAATTAGCCATCATAACAGTGTATCCAGTTTTGTTAAGAAAGTTAGGTTTCATTTTCTATGTGTACTAACCGTTTTCTCTCTTTAGTTTCTGCTTTATATTAACAACTTTATTGTCAGCTACACATTTTCATATTTTCAGGAGGCGCACAATAAACATTTCTATGATATGAATAAGTGAGTGAGTGGGTGAGTGTGAGTGAGTGAGTGTGAATGAGTGAGTGTGAGTGAGTGAGTGTGAATGAGTGAGTGTGAGTGAGTGAGTGTGTGAGTGAGTGAGTGAGTGTGTGTGTGTGTGTGTGTGTGTGTGTGTGTGTGTGTGTGTGTGTGTGTGTGTGTGTGTGTGTGTGTGTGTGTGTGTGTGTGTGTTGTATGTAAATGAGTGTGTAGGAGTGTGAAAGAGGGCAAGGGAGAGAGTGATGGAGATTTAAGAGTGAGAGCAACTTATTTGTCATCATTGTCTGGCTAGTTATTGATCCTTTGAACAATTTTAATAGCTTTCATTTTTAGGATCATAGATGCTCTACTTACAACTCTTGATATAATCATCCAGTAACCCATGAAATTCTCTTTTAATTTTCAGATATTTCTATATTTTTCCCCATTGAAGCCTTACCTAATGCCTAGGTATATCATATAAATAACACTTTTTTTTTCATATCCTAAATACCCTGATTTGTTCTTGTTTTCTTGTTTATTGTTTATGTGTTGGCCATAAACTATACTCCCCAAAACATTGCTTCTTCTTGCATATCACTTCCATGCTTATGCAGTGTGCATGAAAATGTTGTTGTTGTTGTTTTGTTTTTTTGTGTGTGTATTTTTTGGGTTGTAGATGTTTGCATGGTGTATTGGTTTGGAATTTTTGAATTGATCTATTTGTGTAGTAATTGCTTTAAAGATATTTGTTTTTGTTTCTGTTTCTTCATATTTTGTTTCAGATGTAATAATTGGTAAGACCTTGTAATTTCAGGTATTACAGAATATAAGAGTTTAAACAGACCTCATATACATATATATGTGTATACACACATTCACACATGCGCATGCAAGCGCGCACACACACATATTATGTGTATGTATGTATGTATGTATGTATGTATGTATATGGATATGTGTGTGTGTGTGTGTATATATATATATATATATATATATATATATATATATATATATATATATATATATATATATATATATATATATGTATGTATATATGTATATATGCACACACATGTATTTATGTATGCATGTATAAACACAATCATATATATACACATACATACATATACACATACTTATACATTTACATGTACATATGAGAGTGTGTGTGTGTGTGTGTGTGTGTGTGTGTGTGTGTGTGTGTGTGTGTGTGTGTGTGTGTGTGTGTATGTATGTATATGTATATATATGTATATATGTATATATATGTATATATATAAATATATATGTATGTATATATATATATACATATATACATATAAATATGCGTGCTCACACTTTTTTATTATTTTTATTATTATTTTATTATTATTATTAATATTGGGCATGAAAATGTCACATTATTATTGCCTGTTACAAAGCTACACACTCATAATTTTCATTAACTCTGCATTTATGTCCTTGCGTATATGTTGATTCTTTGATGAACATGATCACGTGTAAAAGAAGGCCTTTCCTGAGTTTAGGTGAGGGTAAGAATTATGGTTTTATTTCTCATTTCCTGTAAAATAGGGAACATTCACAAATGCTTTAAAAAAAATATCTTGCTTTGCCAGATTTATGATTACTATTGTGCTTGATTTTGTATGGATCTTATTAATGGAGATGTTTTTTTCTTTTTCTTTTTCTTTTTTTCCTATTTTGTTGATTTGATGAGAGTATAGTTCAAATAGAAATGTCCTTTATATATTTTTAGATATTTTGTAATTAAGAACTTTTTCTCCTTGCTTTGATTTTATATTTAATTCTTGATTTGTGACTAAACGGAAAATTTGAACAAGAGAAATCTTACTTATGTATCATATTTTTGGCATTTTGTTTATGGATATTGACCATGAATATAACCGCAACAACAACAATAACTTTTATTCATTACCTGAAAGATACACATGGTGTCATTTGTAAAGTCATGTCGTTACAATGTATTTTCAGAGAAGATATTTATATCTTGTAGCTTTGATTCAAAAGAGTTTACGAACAAGAAGAAAAAAATGTAATTAGCACTGGAAAACAAACAGGGACAGGCATATTCATAGACTCGTAGACACAACAGCCTACATGAACAGTCACACGTAATCCCATAGCTTTCCTTTGTAATTCTATTAGAGTATATTTGTCAATTATTATGCTGTATCAAGATGGTAACAGACTGTTTTCAATGAGCAGGCTAGACTCCATGTTATCTCTCCAGGTAGGTTACTCTTTTTAACAATAATTAACTTTTGGGGGGAAGGGAGAGAGTATTCAGTTTTCCTTAACACACACTACGCCACTCAACCGGAATAGGTTCATGCTTGTAGAGATAGTTTCTTCCCTGGAGGTGGCACTCTCCCAAGCATGGATGCTGTTACTCCACCCTCATTTAATGGAGGAAACAATGCAAAAGTTCCTTCCTAAAAGCCCACCTAGTCAAGTACCCGCAAAAAGTTTTATGCCATCATGGAGAGTCATCCCCGTCTCCCAGCATCAGCAAATTTTTCCTTAATGAGATGTTCCCCTCACTTAAATTGTTGAAAGAAAAAGACGTTGCCGTCACCCAAGTCCAGTAGGTTAACATGGCCTCCATCCAAAGGATATACATGTACCAAACACAAGTAGACTTTTACTTAGCATTAAGTTAGATACTCCCCAGAGTCACTAAGGCATCCACCTTCCATAGGACACCCCCAGTACCAACACACACAGTGGAAGTGGTAGCAGCAGCAACAATGGCAACAGCAACAGCAACAGTACCAGTAGGACCATTGGAGGAGGAGCAGGAGTAGGGGCAGCAGGTGGTCTAATGTTAAGCAGTTTGACAGGAAAACTGTTAAAGGAAACACCTCCAATGTTCTCTCCTACAACTGCTGTCACAACCACGGGGTCACTTGCTACAGTCATCACCACGTCACCTAATGCATCTGATGTGCAGGCCAGGAAGGTGAGGCACTGATGTTCAAGGAGTGTGGTTTTCTTTTTGTGGACATGATTTTGGCATGTTGGTTGTGATGGTGAGGAGGAGGATGGTAATGATTGCATGTATAGTATTGCTTTGAATTCCTATAATTGTTTAATCTATCTTTTAAGATTAGTATAACAGTGTGAGATTTATGTCAATGCAAACATTTATCCTTTACACTAAATATAGTACCAGAAGCATTTGTTGTAAAGCAACAGCCTAAACCCCTCCCCCTTATCCCTCCCAGATCGTGGGTAGCACCATAGTCACACCTGTGGGCTGGAACAAGCGCGGTCGGCCATCCACCAAGTCCCGCCCAATGCTCCACACTCTCACCACCACCACCACCACCTCCACCACCAAACTTACATCAGATACTTCCAAGGGCCTGGCGATGGGTGCATCCCTGAGCAGCATCATGGGGCTGGGGGCACCTACTCCTGCAGGCACACAGGCAAATGGGAAGAGCGGCGTCATCAGCGTGAATGGCAACAAGATGGCCTCCCCCATCACCACCTCCATCCTGCTGTCCACAAGTGAGGTGGTCACAGACACCCAGGCTGCCTTGAGAGGTATAACATAGCTTTTGCTTCTTCTTTTTAATCTTTTTTAATTATTCTTCTTTTTCTTCTCTCTCTCTCTCTCTCTCTCTCTCTCTCTCTCTCTCTCTCTCTCTCTCTCTCTCTCTCTCTCTCTCTCTTTGGCACACATAAGGAAAGATCTTAACCCATTGGATCCAGCGCTTCATTGTCAACACTCGGTCCAAAATCTGAGTATTAGGCTTCCTTTGAGTGGTGATTGTCCTTGGAGCCCAGGCTCAGACAAACACTCTTGTATGGTGTCAAAACTCTTTGTCTCCTCTTAAAATGTTATTCTCCTTTTTCTACATAACCTCTTCAGATAGTATTAGACTGTTTTCCTTGCACAGACTCCATATCATTCCTTGAAGTAGTCTCCAACTCTGTGCAATAGCAGTAACATAAAGCAACATTTTTTTATTTTGTAATTTTTTTATATTTTCATATTCAGTTTTCTGTAACATAGACATTCTTCCTCTGAGCTTATGTGATTCTTGACCCCTTACAGGTAGTTCTGTGAGCCCACGCGGTGGTGGTGCGGGAGTCAGGGTGTACTCAGGCAGCCCCAAGACATCAGCTGCCTCCTTCCTTTTGACTAATGTGACTTCTGCATCCAATGTGAGGATGGCAAGTCCTTCCATGGTCATCACCAATACCTTGGGTGTTCCTGCTGGAGGCTGTGCAACGAGTGCCTCCACAGAGCCCCTATCCCTTAGTATGAGCTCGGTTGTGGTGAGCGCAGGGGGTGTAAGCAACAATGGGGGAGGCATGGTGGGTGGAAGTGGTAGGGGAAGGGTCATCTTGACCTCCAGTCCTCGTCTTGTGCGCCCTCTCATGGCCTCCCCCGGTAGCCGCCCCATTGGCAGCACGCGCATGCTGAATGCTACCACTGCCTCCCGCCCCACCGTCATGTTGGTCACCACGGCCACACCTGGAGCTGCAGCATCCCCCTCCAGTGCAACCCCCGGTACCCTCACCACCATGGCCCTTACACCTGCCACCAATGTCACATCTCCCACACTCATGGCCTCAAGCACCCCCATGACATCCTCTACCATCCTGGCAGCTGTCTCCAAGTCACCTACCAACTCAGCTGTTCTGGCACAGTCAAAGTCAAATCCCCTCACACTTGCCACCTCCACATCGCTGCTGCCAAAGAGTATGACTGCACAGGCAGCTGTGTCCCCAAAGGGTCTGGCCACTGCCCCAGCCACAACCACAAGGCCTTCTGTGGTGCCAGCAGGTGAGTTGGCTCTACTGGTAGCAGCATCAGAGATGAGTGAGCGGGCCAGGAACCCTGTGTCACCCACCACCATGGCCACTGAAGCCAGTATTCACATCATTAGCTCAGTAGACTCCTCTGGGTCTCAGCCAGAAGTTGCAGTCACTTCTCCAGCATCCACATCACAGTCCTCACCATCAGCATCGACATCTGTGGCAGATAAAAATTGCAGCAGCACTGTTAGCAAAACTAGTGACACAAAGAAAACAGTAGTGACCAGTAGCCAACAGCAGGTACCATCAACATCCCAAGCCAGCACTCAGTGTATTCCTGGTACTGCCACTACAACCACCACCACCACCACCACCACCACCACCCCGACGACCACTACAGCTGCCCGCACCACTGAGTCTTCAAGCAGTAGTAGCACCTCCTCTAAAACATCACAGCAACAGCAGCAGCAGGGCATTGTGACTAGGACATTTACCCTGAGTGGAGGAATCAGTCTAAGGTCAAGGCGTAGCAGCGGGCCTCTGGTGGTGGAGCTGGACAACGGACGGCAGAGCAAATCGTCGGGCACCGGGACCTCATCATCCTCGAAGGGTTCTGCTCTTCGCAAGGGCCGAGGAAGGGGGCGTGGCCGGCCAAGGTCACACATGTAGACCGGTGGAATCTGTAAATGTATGGTCTTTGAGTGTGAGAGAGAGAATATAACTTCCCTGGTAGTATGGTAGTATGAATGTGAATATGAATGGTTTTAGATGAATATTCAAAATGGATATAGTATGATATTAGACTGAAAACCAGCAAGTTCTATAGTTAATTGGTGGCCAACAGTCAAGAAGGAAAATGTATGTAATTCATTCTAAGGAAGGCAGTACATTGTTTATGTATGTGTGTGTGTGTCTGTCTGTATTTTTTCCTGAGAAGTACATTTTATGAAAAAGATGTGGAAATTTGACTTTGTTTATTTAAGTGCAGAAAACTACTGTAGTATACAGTTTTGGCACTCTTGTTCAGCCTTAACAATCTTACATCTGCTAATTAAACAAGGATTATATCATCATCTGTGTTAGTTGTATAGCATAACATTATGCAATTTTTTATATTAATCTAATGTAATTGTGCCAACAAGGTTGGTGTCATAGTTGTATTATCATTTGTAAGTGCAAATATAAAATTTGTTTTGAAAATGAACAAATATATTGTTAAATAGTTACTTTTTGTGTAACTGGTGTTCATAAAATGTTTAAGTTATAACCATTTTCTCTTTATTGTTGCCCAACGGTATTGGTACTGGGGATGGCATATACATTCTTGGCATTTATTAATGGTCTTTACTCATGGATGACTCCATATGCACTTAGTCACCAATGAACCTTTTCCTTGATTTTTGGAAAGATTTTCTTTTATCTTGCAGTTACTGACTAACTGGGGAGAACATCCCTGCCTGAGGCCTTAGTCTTCAACTTAACTAATTTTGCATAATCTTTTCCTATCACCCCCCCCTCCCCTATTCCATGCCCATTGTTGCCATGGGGGGCTTGGGAGCCAGAGACTGGGACCTAATGCTGGGGATCACCCTTGCTTTGGGCCTCGTCTCAACTAATTTGGTTTGGTATTTTCTTCTTCCCATTTCCATTTCTTTGTGCCAGTCATAAATGGCCTGGGGAGTCATGAGCACGGTGTTCCCTTGTTTAGTTGTCTTGCCCTTACCCCTCTAGGAGACTGACCCCAGGCTCACCTTTGACCACGACTCTGAACAGTACCCCGTCCTCAATACATACTACCAACTCAGTGCAGGCCAAACCATCTACCCAGGTTATTACTCAAACTCCAGAAAACATTTCTCCTCACCCAACATCCTCCTCTTCATCTCCGCCACCCCAAAGCTTTCTTCATATACTACCACCTCTGTCTTATTACTACTCTATGGCTTTATTATCCATCTGTCAACACAACACCTTCCACATGCCCCTGGCCTTCTACTTACCCCCATCTCCACAAACCTTCTGAATACTCTGTTTAGTGCAGCCAAATGGGATCAACTTTTCTTGATCGCCTCTATAGCCCCTTACTCTGACAACCCTCTTCTCTTCCGGCAATGCCTTCTAACTTTCCTTCCGAAGTCATCCCGATCGTTCCTGTCTTGTCAAAGTTACATCTGAAACCCAAGCTAAAGCATTATCAACCCTATCTGATGTCACTGGCAAACCCATTCATGCCCAGACTCATCCCTCCCACAATACTTGTATCAGGACTGTCTCCATCTGCCCTATCTACAAGGATTGGTCAGATTACCTGCCTGCCTTGTGGACTATGATGCAGTATCAGTACAATGCTACACCATTCCCCCTAGAGGCCGCCGTAAGTCCTGTCCTCTACCAGTATTGCTAATATTACTTTTGAGAAACATGATTTCCCCCATCATATTTATATTGGCGATAGTGCCTCCCTATCCGACCATGTCAACTCACCCCACCCCCCACCACTTCCCCGTCAATGTCAATGCCACTCCACCCCGATTCCCTCTGTGCCCAACCTAGTTATGGTCGATCAGACTGCTCTGCATAAGCACAAATATGTGCCAATTGTGGTGGCTCTCATAATGTATTTTATACATTATACAATTTGCGTCTGAAGTGGCAAATCTCAGATTCAAACTTGCCCTCACTTTAAGCGGGGCTACAAAGGAAACACGCAGACGAGGTTTGTCTCTTGCTTCCTACTCCAGTACTGTCCTTTACTCTCTCCCTCGGCCTCCCTCCCAAGATGTTTCTACATCTCCCCTAGTATCCTTCCTCATGCTGCTTATTCCCCCTCCCTCTCCTAGTCAGATTCCTTTGCCATTCTAGATCCAGACACCCGATCTCCACCACTTTTCCAGATACTTTAATCTCTACTTCCCTCTTCGTCCTCGTTCAATTCATCGCACAAGACAAGCTAAATGCTCCACCCCATCTTCTAAAGCATTCTTTCCAGCATCAGTCTCACTCTCTGCTCCTCAAACTGTTCCCTTTTCTCTCGCTGATTAGAAAAACTTTGTTTCTCAGACCTCCCCAACCAACTCCACTTTAGAAAGTCTCCCCCCCCCAATCCTTAAGAGACGGAGACTGAGGCCCAGTGCTGTGGATATCCCCAACCACGAGCCTCATCCCTTACCGCAACTAATTTTGCACGTTTTTTTCTTCTTCCCCCTTCCTTCCCTTATCTTCCCCACCCCTTCCCCTGTTCAGTTCGTAAGGTGTGAAAGCTGTGTTGAAAGGATGAAAGGCTGACTTTGTGCCAGCCATGAACGGCCTCAGGGAGCCATAGGTGCGGTATTCTCCTGGTTAATTGTTTAGCCCTTACCCCTCAAGCGGACCCTGAGGGTGAACCTTTTATCTTCCCCACATATTTCAAGCTTACCATAGCCAGTAATGAAGATTTTGTACCCCAATTAGGGGCATTGAGGCTTGCCCCTTTATTAACTAGCCTCTCTGAATCTAATTCCTCTGGTTTACCGACCCCTGACTCTCCTTTGATCAACCTAAATCCTGCACAATGATCATTTTCTACCTCCTCCCTTATTACAACTCTTCAACCTTATTACCCTCACCCCCACAGTACTGTCTTACTCCACACCACTCCCTCCTCTCCTGTCCTCGCCCCTCTACATTTTCCACTTTTACTAACCTTTTGATTATTCTATTTAGCCCAGCTAGAGTTTTTGTGATTCCCCCCAACAGCCTCTTATTCCGGTAATACCCTCCTCTTTCAACTCTGCCTCCAAAATCAAGTAGGCAGTTTCCTTCCGCAGATCGCTCGCTTCTTGTAAGTCACAGTTAAATCTGAGTCTCCATCCCATTTACTATCTACCCTGGTACACCTCACTGGCGAACCTATCCCTGCCAAACCTCACTTCTCCCTTAATAAATGTATCGGAACTCTTGCAATCTCCCTGGCAGATTGCCTAGTATACGACAAAGATTGGTCAGACTGTGAAGACGACCTACTTGCTTGCTTTACTGACTATGATTCCCCCCAGAAGCCGCCGTAAGTACCACAATATTGCCAAGTCTACCTTTCGTAGACATGACCTTCCCCATAAAGTCTATATAGGACTGTCGGACCATCTCAATCCCGACTGTCAGACCATCTCAATCCCCACCCCGTCTGTGTCAGAAATGTTGGCCTTTTGGCCACCCTGCAAAGCACTGTCGCTGAACAGCCCGCTGCACTGTGTGTGCCCAACCTGGTCATAACTCCAATCTCCTCTTGGGCTACCAACCACGGCTAACGATTTTCTACCATTAAAACCTTTTCCATCTTTTTTTCTTGTTTACGTATAGGCTCCCAACCCCCCACTCTTCCTGTAAGATGTTCCCGTGCAGTTCAGACCTTCAAGCAAGTTCCTTGGGGTCATTTTTTACTCCAAACTGTCATGGCGAGATCATATCTTCTCTCTTAAATAAAAAGCCCGCCGTCAACTTCGACTCTTACAGACCCTCTTTCACATAACCCGGGTTCAGAACGCAAAATATTCAATATTACTTTAATCCTCTTCACCCCAGATTATGACTGCCATTTATTTATTTATTTATTTACTCTGCCTCTGCCTCCCTTCCCACTCAACTTAACACAATCCACCATTGCGGTCTCCTCATTCCCTCCTTCATATCTTCTCTCCCCTTTCCCTGTTCGTATGGACGCTCTGCTTTCCCATTCACCCATTCTTATTCTCCGATCTCTTCCTCTTTCTATCCAACCTTTCCCTCCATGGTTAAAACCTTCCTCTTGTGATTGTTCTCCTATTTTGCCTGGCCCACCCATATCAAACATCCCACCTTCTATCTTACACACTTTCTTTCACAAATCTCACGTCTATAGAGGGCTCCAAATCCACCTCGGGTACTGGTTTCGCTGTAGACTTTCCCTCTCACATATACAACTTTCCCCTTCCTCCTTAATCGAGCGTCCTTACAACAGAACGCTATCCTCTTCGCTTTGCAACGCATGTCTTCCATCCCTTCCTCATCCTTGACCATCTTCACTGGCTCGCGTAACTCAATATCACTCATACAATCCATACACCCTATCAACTCTATAGTCCCAAAATAAAAGGATCAGTTGTTTTAGCAGTCAATGGGGGTGGGAAAGGGAGTTAAGTTTTGTTGGATACCCAACCATGTCGAGATCCCCGACAGGGAAAAAGCATCTCGTCAACCCAGCAACCCCGCATTTCACACATCTCAGCCACCGGCCAGCTTCACAGAGAGGCAAAGAGATCCTCCCCCTCGACCAGCTGGTACTCAGACGCCACAGGCTATGAACCACCGCCATCACAATACATTACCATAGTGCTATTTGACCTTCGATGCCTAGCACATTTATTTGTTTAAAGCATTAATCATTCACCATTACACCGCATCCACCGTCCAATCTCACTGCTCCCATTCCCTCTACACGCTAAGTCACTGCCGACATCCATCTTCCCCTTACTCATGTTTCACCTGCACCCCTTTCTCTCACTACCTCCCTACATATCTCATTTCCCCCCTGCTTCAGCTGCATCATCTCCCTTCCCTTCCCCTACTTGCCTGCCTCGTGGACAATTAAGCTATACCAGTGCAATGCTACACCATTCCCCTTAGAGGCCGCCATAAGTCCTTCCCAATATTGCTAAGATTACTTTCTGTAGACATGACGTCTCCCATTATGTTTATATTGGCGGAAAATCCCTCCCTGTCAGACTATATCAATCTTCCCCTGTCAACTGTCAGAATTGCTGGTATCTAGGCCACCTATCAAATACTGCCGCTCCACAGCCCGATACCCTCTTTGTGCCCAACCTGGTCATGATCGGTCAAATTGCTCTGCACAATCAAGCTCCCATAATGTTTTTTTATAGGGACTACCATACTACAAGTTTGATTATGATATGGCAATTCTCAAATTTTGGCCTCATTATACACTAGGCCACACAGGGAGTATGCAGACGAGGTTTTTCTGTTACTCCTTACTTCAGTATTGCCCTTCGCTCTGCCCCTCCCCTGTGTCTTATCCCTGGCTCCCTTTCCAACTTCTCCGACACGCATTTTTACTCATATCATTCGCTACTTCATAATAGCTCCTCTACACACAGATCTGAACTTCGTCATATCATTTCTTCTTATAATCCATCCATTGTCTGCCTCCAAGAGACTTTTTTTTTACACATCTACCTGTACGAATTCTCAATTATTATTTTGTCTCTTCCTCACACTCTTTTTCTGTCTCCT